GGGGCTGAACAGGTGCTCGCCTGCCTTGCCCCATCCCTGTTTTGCCGGTGCCGAGGTTGCTCTTGCTGGAGCCAAGGACATCGTTTTGTTGACTTCAGCGACAGTGGGATTTGGCCACTGCGAGTCAGAATATCCGATCCCTCCAGCTCTGCCCATCGCCCTTAGGGAGGTTTCCAGAAATGTCCCATCGCTATGCCGGCACTAAAGCGGCTCAGTTGGTGGGCAAGACCCTTTGGTGCAGCGCGAGGGAGCTGCCCTGGCTCTCCCCCAGTCCCCGGAGCATCCGTACTGCTGGGAATCAAGCAAGCCAGGGTGCACGGAGGGCTGGGGAAGGGCTGGCCGTGTCCGTGCTCCTGGAGAAGGGTCTCTCTAGAAAGTGGCTACATGCCTGCCTGCCTGTCGGGAGGAGGGGGCCCTGCAGACCTCGCCAGCAGCCAAGGGTCCCCTTCGGGCTTTTCGGCATCGGCCTCTCCTGCTGTCTCAGGCTGCAGCTTGCAAATGATACTGTGAGAGAAAAGCCACCAATGTCATTTCCCTGCTCTGCCGTGCCCTGCCCAGGTGAGTGCAGGAGCCTTTCCCATCACCATCCACGCTTGGTTTGCTGCTTTTTTGGTCACGGCCATTAGGGTAACGGTGCTTATTTTGTTCAGACTTCAGTCCAGTACCTGCTCTTAACAGCAATGGCAGCAAATCGTCCTTACAGCATCCTCTGCCGAAGTGGATCAGCACGGTCGGTCTCGGTTTATGCATACTGTTGCCTTTATATTTTATTTATTTCCCATTTGTGCATTTTACCGGAGGGCAGGGGTTAGGACGAGCACTAGCACCGTGATTGCCATACTTTGGCTGAACATTGGCTTCCTGCGAGTTGAGCTGGTACCATTAAAGGAGTCATCGCCACGTTTCTTTGTAAGCTGTTGCCTGCCAATGACTATCCAGTTTCAAAATTTTCAAACAATAGTGTGCCTGAAACTAGTGATTAAATGAAAAATATTCTGTAAAAAATGGGGGGTTCTAGAAACAATATTTGATGTGTAAAAGACTATATTATTAAAAAATTATTTTGTTAAATATAAAGTGTGTGAACCAGCAAAAAGACCCCAAATGATATATTTGTGGTGTATTTTACTCTGCTGATATCACCCCCTCAAGCTCCCGATTCCCCATCCCTTGCTCCAGCCCCCGACTCACTGCAGCGTTGGCGAGTGCAGCAATGGGGCTGGGGTGGGAGGAGCGGGCTCGGAGCCTGGAAAAAGCTGTGAAAGTCCTACAGATGGGATGGGTTGCCCAGGGAGCTCCTCAGCAGTAAACCACTAACTCAGCTTTGCTTTGTCACAAGGTACCTGCCAAGCTGGGATTCCCTTTTGGGAAGCCGTCGTGGACCGACACAACTCCCAGGCTCTCGTTTTAACCTCCATCTGGTTTTGCCTTTTACTGGTGCCATTTTACGTTTGATGCCATTTCCTGAACATGGAAATTTGCTTTCAGTTCACAAACTCCATTTGGTACCTCCAGATGCATCATTATTTACACTGATTAGTAGTTACTCTAATTAATTACAGCTTAATTACTGTAGTTAATGTTTGTACAGTGCTCGGAACAAGTACAGCGCTATACATACCACATATTATTTTCTTCATTATTAATTAAGCACCATCTCCATTCCATGCTGTGCTACTTCATTATTTCCCAAGGAGTCACGGCAGCGTCCTTATTCCCACCCAGGAGTACTTTACTCCCGGCTCCCACTGGGATGCTGCTGGGTTGGCGACCACGCAGGATGGGAGCACGAAGAGCAGGATCTACGGCGAGTGGGATTGCTAAGGAACATGGGGATGTTCCGGTTTTTCCATTCACCCTTTCATGGCATTGAGTCTGAAAAAAAAAAAAAAAGAAAAAAGCTGATGGCAGGAGGACACACCTAGGGAAGCCCTGCAGATCCCATCAATCTCAGATGTATCTGCGAGGTCTCCAGGAGGTGCTGGCTCAGAGTGTAGAAGGGATCCGATTCCCCCAAATCCAGCAGCGTTAGGCCTGCGGTCCCACTGAGGGATCCCGTACCTCTCCCCGAGCACCAAGGTGGTGGCAGGGCAAGGTCTGGCATTGCAGAGAGGAGGGATGGGCACAGCTTGGCTTTTCTGGGGGGTGGTGGGGACGAGTTGCCGATCATGGGTGGGTAGTCTTTCCACAGCACCTGGGACACTTGGAGCAATAGCCCCAAAAATCATTGCCACCGGCTCTGCTTCATAGCAGCCCCTCTCAAGCCAGACGGGGTGGATCCAGAATGGAAATCCCATCAAGTGCTCCCCAAATACGCTAAAGAGTTTCAGCCTCATCGCAATCTCCTTCCTTTCTGCCTTTTTTTTTTTTCTTAAATGTTTTAGTTCATTTCTCCCTTTAATTAATCACAGCTCTGGGCCAGCCAGACCCATTAACTACTCTTCTCATTTAGACCTTTCAGAGATGCAGTTGCAGATGCAATTTAATTTGTTGACCCATGATCGATAGCAATTAATACCATCTCTTTAATCTTGTTGAAAGGTTCGTCTTGGGCTTCCAGCAGCTGCCATCTCAAGGGAAAGGTGTCTGATACATATGTTATTAGATGGGGGAGCACAACCTCCTCCGCGGGTGCCATCCTTCCCGTTCCCCCCAGGCTGACACTCTTGAAAATACAAGAGGTATTTTGGGGAGATGGAGAAGAGAAGAAGGTGGACAAAGGTGAGGGAAGATGCTGAGGGGGAGAGAGAAGAGCAAGGGGCTTGGTAGGGCATAAAGTAGAGGAAGGTGGAGTTGATGGGTTGGAAAGATGAGGGATAAAGAGGAGAGCATGAGTGGAGATAGAGGAGGAGACATGGGTAGAAAACGGAGCCAAAAGACCTCAAGTTGGAGCAAAAGAGTGGGTCAGAGAGCGGATAGCTTAGAGGCAACATCTTCAGCGTGAGTAACAGTGAATCTTGCAGAAGAAACACACCCAGAGCCAAAAAGGCGATCCTTCCTCCTGGGATGCTTAACGCCCAAGTCTCACTTTGATGTGATGCCATTTTCTGTCCCCTACAAGTCCAGCAGCTGTGTACAGCCTCCCTCCTCCTCCAGCAGTGTGAAAGCCAACCCCGAGAGCATCACCTTTTCCCCATCCTCATTAATATGCCATTACCCCAAATTATTTTATAATTATGGGATTATTTCCTGCACACGCCAGGGGAGGAGCTGTCTCAGCTCTGGGTCACCTGCGAAACATCAGCAGGGTGATGTTGTTGTCCCCCAGAAGCCTGCAAAGCACACTTAAAACCAGGCTAAGGCTGGGAAAAACCTGGAATGTGGGTACTGTGCATCCCACCCAGACAGCACCACGCAGTACCGGGACACTGAGCACCAGCGCTCCTGAGTCAGCAGCTTATAATGGCTTCAGTGGCACATAATGAGTCAAGACCTGGAATTTGGGTACTGTGCATCCCACCATCCCACCCAGACAGCACCACGCAGTACCGGGACACTGAGCACCAGCGCTCCTGAGTCAGCAGCTTATAATGGCTTCAGTGGCACATAATGAGTCAAGTCCCACCTGACATGACCGTCCCCTGGCTCGGCTGTCCCAGCTGGCAGGGATGCTGAATCCGTTGCAGCAACCCCTATTCGTCCACAGCTCTGCTAAATGTAAAGGCAAAGAGCAAATCCTCAGCTTCCAGCACAGCATGAGCAATAATGTGTTTCTCTTTGGTGGCTGTTAAAGGGAAAAGAGGGCCCATGTGAATGTACAGCAAAATTACATGGTTTTGCAGCAGCAAGTCAATGTAGAAAATGAAAAATTTATCAAGAAACCACCTTCCTTTGTGGTGTGGGATCTTAACTTTTAAAACACAAGGAATAGAGAGCATGGAAAGGAAGTAAGTGACTGTATTTATATATTTAATATACCGTATGTATATATTTGTATTTGCAGATATACTTCCTACATTTTCAGAGTGATTTTTTTTTTTAAGGAAAAGTATCTTTTTTAAGGAAAATATCTTTTTACCATGACTAACATAACTATCTAAAAGAGCTCTGCTCTCAGAAGATGCCAGTTCATGCCCCGACTTAGCCGTACTCTTCCTGCGTGCTCCCAGGAGAGCCAACAACACCCCGGTGCCACAGACTGCAGTGAGAGTTTTGCATCCAAATACGCCCAACATGGGACAATGTCCAACACAACATGGTGACATGTACTTCCCTGTCGACATAGCAGCTCTGGGAACATGACTATTTTGGTTCACGTACCAAGGTGATGGAGACCCTCCAAGTTCTCTTTAAGGAGCTTCTCAATGCACAGGATTTTGTAGGATGACCATGAAGTTGGTCCACCCTCCAAGCCACGGAGACAGAAACTGACCCTGGAAACCCTTTAGCCATCATGGTCACGGATTGGTGTCCGAATAAATAGCAGAGGAGCACAGAGTAGATGGTTGGCATTTTTTTCCAGCAGCTCCACACAGAAATAAAAAGCACCTGAGAGCCACAGAAACCTCTACAACATATCATCTTAACCCAGGTAACTGCCTTTGGTCACCAAATTGCTCCTTTTGGCAATTCCTTTCCCTCTACCCATGGACATTCATGCTGACAGTCTGTGAATGGGGAGCAGGCAGGCCAGCACCAATATCCCGTAAGTCAACAGCAAGCTGAAGCCCTTAAGTAGCCAAGGGACCTATATTAAGCTATGTAAAATATTACTTGGGGCTTTACTGTGCTTTGTGTGCATAACTAGCCCAAGGCAGGGAAGAATAAGCCATTGCCAAGATGTGGCGTGCTTCTGGACACAGGGTGTGCAAGCCCAAAGGGATAATTCTGCACTAGGAAATTGGAATGAAAGACAAAAAAAACCCAACCAGAAAGCTAAGTCAGGCTGCTTTGGGATGGAATAGAACTAGACTGTGTCCCCACCAGCATCGGCCGATGTCCTCCCTGCCAAGGCCAAGGGGACGGGTCATGCTCGTGCCCATCCGCACAGATGGCCTCATCTTTTGGGCAGGCAGCCAGTTGGGTGTTATCGATGACCGTTCAGCAAGAGATGGACAAAGCCTCACCTTTCTTGGGGAATTTGTGTCCTCTGACCGTACTGGTTCCCCTGCGGTCACTAATTAATTAGTTATCTGCACTAATTAATTAGTTATCTGCATCCGTGGGAGCTGCCAGTCAATATTTTCTTGGCACCAGACTTTCCACAGAAGAAGGCAAGAGGATGGGTAGAATAGCACCAAGAGACATTATCTGACAGTTTCAGGGCATCCTTTCCAACACAATCTTTCTGATTCTGGGCTCTTGCAGCATCCCTGGTGCTGGTACCCATGCCTGACCCCATCTGCACGCTCAGAGCTGTGTCCCCCAGTGCAATGCAGCATGCTTTCGCTCACCTGGCCGGCACAAGGCTGAGAGTCCCACGGTCTCTCTACTTCGGTGGCCCAACCATTCAGGTGAAAGGACCCTTTGCCGTGTGACTTTCTGATGTTTTCTTCAGATATAGGAGTTGGCGACCTGGGACAAGGAGGGAGAGAGAGAAAGAGCGAGCCTGAGCTATTAGACTTGTTTCAGTGGGACAGGGAAGGATTTTAATAGTAATTAATGCTACTATTCATTTAGATTGTAAGGCATCTGGCACTGGAAAGGATGCAGTCAAGGTATTTTTGGTCATTGCAGCATACACACACACAACGTTTTATGCTGCTGTTCTCTTTATAGTGATAACCCATGAGAGCTTAAAGAGAAACCGCTGGGCCACTCTCCCGCCTGGTTACCCATAGGGATTATCCTGTTACCCACACGTATTAGCCCTTCGGGTATCTCAGCAGTGGCTTGGCTCGGTGTTTGGAGAAACAGCCAAATCCCCGTCTAGGGAGTTTTGGAAAAATCATATGAATCTGGAAGGCAAAAACTCCAAGGAAGCAGGTGAAAAATGGGGTTCACCAGGCTTTATGTTGTCCCTCCAAATGACACGCGATGATGAGAGTGGAGACTGCAGACCATGCCTTGGAGCAGGCTGCAAAGCCGGAGTATCCTGTCACCGGCTGCACAGCCAGGGTGCCAGGCACTGGGGGTGACTGGGGCCGGCAGGCTCCAGCTTTCGGAGCCTTGGGTCCTACCTTGAAGGACTTCAGAAGAAGCTGCAATAAAACCAGGGTGAGATGTTCAGCTAGCCAGCTGAAAAGTGTCACCTTAAGTGTTTACATCATCCTCAACACTACCATCAAGTACTTGGTTAATAAAAATAATTTCAGTTTAATAGATAGGGACCGCTGATCTTTGCTCTTTTCATTAGTTAGCTGGCTTGATGGATGCAACCTCTGCCTTGCTCGGATGATTTTCTGGGTTTCCTAGGGCCTGGCTGTGTTCCTATAATTTAGTTGTATTTGCCATTTCTCTCTCTTTTTTTTTTTTTTTAAAAGGGCAAAAGCCTTGTTAATTTTTATTAATTTATTTCTCACGGGGGTGGCAAACAGCTTCCCAGGAAAAATTCATCCTTAATGTTCTGTAACGGAGCTGTCCTGGAGTCGTGCTGTTAGTAGCCTGTCTTCATCCCGATCATGGATGGACGTCTGTGCTTCCAGGGTGAGCTGGGGTGTGGTGGGAAAGGGAAGAGATAAAAATGCGAGGAACTTGCTCTCCCACAAATAATCCACTCCCCATACGTGCTGAAACGCTCGTTTTGCAGTCCATTAAGCTCAAGTTAATGCAGGTAGAGCATGTCTGGCATCGAGAGGATGGTAAAGGTTTTGGGTTTTAATTTTACTCAGATGAAAAATCCTACACGTTTCTGGCTGGTGTCAGTACTTCTGCAGCAAAGACAACAGGCCCCGCTGGAAGCATGAGGCCAAGGTTAAAGCACTTCTAAGTCAAGATGCTACGATACCCAAAGAAGCAATTTCCCATTGTATTGCATATCTTCTGGCATTTTATCGGCATGAATAGAAACTGCAAGCGAAAGGGGTGCACGGGGACTCATTGGAGCTGCAGATGGCTTTAAATTTCCCCTAACTTTCTTTGGATTCAAGGTTATCCTCTTGGCTTGCTGCAGGCCTGCCTGCTTGGGCTAATTGCATTTCTAAACAAATAGTAGCGTTGCCCCTCCTCGCCCCGCCAGCGTGAAAAGAAAGCAAACGGAGACGTGCCTGGAAAATAAAGCGTGTTTGTTATCATGCTGTGAAGCCCCACAGGATATTTTAGTCCTTATGGTTTTACTTAAAACATCCTAAATCCCACTGGTTTTGTCAGCAGCGTGAAAAACAACAAATGGAAGGAGGTGCAGGCACCTGGGACAAGGGAGCAGGAGGCACGCAGGGAAAGACGGCCCTTTGCAACCCTTACAATTCCCCTGATGGTGAAAGAGTCTCCCTGGGGTAGTGGATAGCGTGGGAAAAGTGGAGATACCACAAATCCCATGAGCTGGAGATACCACAAATGCCACATGATGGGGTTTCCCTGCCTGCTTCTCTTGGGTGCTTCTGAGAAGATACAAAGCTGGTCTCCATCCAGCTGGAGATTAGGGACCAGTGCATCATTTGCAGTCCTTCCTCTCATCAAAACTGTTAGCGGCAACCTAGGCTCCATCCTTCTGGATCTGAGAAAGTGGGTCACAAACCACAAACCTAATTTCCTAGTCCAAACTTGCTTAATGTTTGTCTGCTACCAGTAACCGTTGTGCCTTGTAGCAGAAACACAGGAATTTTCTTCTGTGAAATCATGTCAAGAGCAGAAATGAGAAGTTGTTGAATGGAACACAAGATCCTGAGGAGTAGGTCAATGTAGAAATAGAAATTTAGGTGGATACGACTGAATTTCTGGCCAGTGAAGCAGACACACACCCTTTGAAAGAGTTACCCCGGCAAGGGAAATTTCACTGGCCAGGCCTGGCCCATTGCACCCCCAACCTTGAGCAGGGTGGAGAGGAGATTTGGAGAAATCCACGTGCACTACAGACTTGTTCTGTCATTTTGTCAGATACACTTTTCAACTAGTATTGCCCAACAAGTGGCACTTGGCCTTCGTTTTTGAGACAGAATACAAACACCTGTAGGAACAAAACACATAGCAAAGATTTTGCTACCACCATGTGCAGGGACCACCACCAGTGGGCAACAATGCTGGAGCCTTGTCCTAGGGAAACCTTGAGGTGTCACAGTCTTTCTGTTATCAACAAAGAGAAAAGAGAAACTAAGCAGGTTAGAAAACATCAAAAGAAAGAAACATGAAAACAGCTGAGCCACATTCCCTTCAAACAAGCACAAATTTGGACCAGAACCTGCTCCTGGAGAAGATGCAAGGGGAAAAACTTGGCCTCGTGCGAAGATGCTACGTCCAGCACCAGCGACACCAGGAGTCTCTCGCCATTCCCCAGCCCCGATAATAATAGCTCCATTCACCACAGTGAAATTATTCCTGTGAGTATGAGCAACAGGCTCCTCAATCCAATTTTCTCATATCTATTTAGTGATAAACATACGTTAATCCGACACCAGCTCATCTGCACCACCTTTCTGAGTCTGGAAATTTGTGCCTTTTGCAGGTAAAAGTGAACTTGGTACTTTTCCAGATGCTGTTATTCGGATGCACCGTGTAATATCACAGTGACAATGGCTGGAAATGCAATATCAGTAGGACAGATCACATCAAAAACCGGGCCAATTTAGTGATATTAAATTAGTGCACAGCCTCAAATTCCTAAAGAGAAGCAGCTGGTATAAAAGCTATATAACTATCAATGCAACGTATTATGAGTTTTATTCTTATTATTTTATTAACAAATTTTTCATTCTTCCCCTGCTGTGGAAATGCCATGCGATAAAGGGCGAGGGCTTGCTTACCTGCAAAACAAGAGCTTTATTACTTGTTCTGAAATAGATCATTTACAGCAACAACAAGTGGTATTAATAAAGTTTGGGGATGAGAGCCAATTGCCAGGAGCTGTGTTTCATATCACTGCGAGCGAGAGTTAACTTTGGGAAGGAAAATGAAATGTTAACCAAAAAGTCATTTCCAAGAGAAATAGTCCCACTGTACATCATCAAGCTAATAAAAGCATGCAGTCATGTAACACAAGGAAATTCCTCCTTCTCCTGGTCACAAATCATTTTTACCCTATTTCCCCGTGTTCTCACTCTCAGAACACAATTGCAGGCTTCTATCGGTTTTGTTGGCGAATTTATGCAGCTCTTTACTGCTCACCTACTTCTTCCCATCTTGGTCTTTTTCATTAATGAGTCACGGAAGCATTAATTAACGTTTAAGAGGCAGGCAGCGGGTTTTTTTGTGTGGGTTTTTTTTTTGGTTCGGTTTTGTTTTTTTTTTTTTCTTCTGTGGATCACTTAATCAAAGGCGGGCCTGTGTTGTTCAGTTATAAGTGGAAATCCAGAAATGGAGAACAGCTACACTTTCAGGTTGTGCTTTACATACCCGGCAGAAAACATTTTAATAAAATATTTTCAATGAAAAGAAGGGACCTAAAGAAGCATCAGTTTCCAGAAGAGGCTCAGCCTTCAGCAACTCTCCTGCAGATGCTTTACAAGTTAATTTTTTGTGGAAAAAAAAAAAAATCAAACCTACTGCAGTGACCAAAGAGGAGCAGAGCTCTTCTGAAAACCTGACTTGAGACATCAGCTCACCGGCAGTCTTGGCAGCGAATGGAAAGCAAAGTCTGGAGATGGGGGCTGCTCTTTGCTGTCGGTGGTGGAGGAGTGGAAGAGCTCCAAGGTGGACTCCTGCACAGCTTCAGGCTGTGGGAAATGGCACCAAGGTCTCAAGAAGGTGGGACCTCAGCTGTTGGTACGTCCATAGGCTCTTCTCCCCTGGCTTGTGCAGAAGTAAGTTGAATGTTCAGGGTAAACAGCTGTATTTTATGGGTTCATCTGAAACCCCGTTCATTATCATTGAAACAATAAAGACTGAGAGCTTAGCACTTCTGAAAAGTCAAGTTTGTGGTGTTTAAGACTGACATCCTGAAGGACTCAAAATCTTTAATGTGATATAGTCAAGGGCTCTCGCACAGGCAGGGCTGGACTCCTGACATCTCGGGATCCTGTCCTCGACGCCAGCCACCAGGGTGAGAGAAGATGCACAACAGTAATGGCTGAGACTAAAAACAATGAAGGAGAGCTGCTTCAAGGCAGAACAGGCTCCTTCTGTCTTCTCATCAGACAAACCCTTTGACAGACCCTCCCAAGGCACAAATCACTGCATGTGTGCCATCTTTCTAAATGAAATGTTGCTACAATAACAGATTTCAAGCGTCCCCTGAAAGCATGCTGTTCGATATTTATAATCACTTCATAAACACATGAGAAATGGCACAGTACAGCCCTACATAATCTATGTGCAATGATCCTTGGTGACAAAGTGTAAGTGACTAAATCCCTTTCCAGGTCTAATGATATTTTGCTCTAGTAAGCCAGTGATCTATCTCGTATGGCAAAAATAAAGCACTCATGCATAAAATTAATACAGTAAG